AATTATTTTTCAGTGTTACTGGCACCTGAAACCTTTTTACAACATTTAGATGTTTTAAGGTCACAATCTTCCTCTTAAGGCATACTTTGACATGGAATGTGAACAAATCTATTATCATTTTGATAAGAATTAACGGTGGACTAGTGGAAGTGCCACTGAGCACACGTCCGATCCAAACCAGTGTATCGTATAGAGATTCTGATCAAAACGATTACAAATTCTCAACATTTCATCTCAGCTGTGATTAATAATTTCAATAAACTGAGTCATATTTATACCTGAAAGACACCAGGTTATTTAAGACTCAATAGATTACATTCAAACTGTCATTGTGCCAAATTCCCTCAGTGACAGCCTTTGTCAACAGGATTAAATCCATATGAGCGAGCACAGTGTGATGCTTGAAAGGAAGCAATAGCACTAAGCAATTTCATTACTGGATAGGAAAGGAATGTCAATGCACTCCATTCCAATGTGCCTGCTTTTTACCAGTCCAAATATCAGGCTGATCAAAAGTGCAGCTCTGAGGTTAATTTTCAGAAACAGATCAGAATACCACCATGGCCACACCAGACTGAATTGTGCAAAGGTACCAACTGACATTTCCCTTTGACATGTGTCCAAAAGTACCTTTAGAAATTGTTTAAATTTGAAGATCCACCCTGAATAGTTTGGAAACACAAATCTCCTCTGCTTCAGTAATTTTTCTACACATAGAAAAATGCACCGATGGATATTACACCTTTTATTTTTTTACTGTTTTTCCAACACATACACTACATTCTGCCTGATAGTGTGTATATATGATTAAATCACGCAGAAGCTGTTTGATAGCCAGCTCCCAGGTCAGCCCTTCTATGTGTAGCACTCATCAGGCTTTGTGCTTTATTCTGAAAATAGTTACGTTGTGCATTGTGTTCCAAATCTGTTGGAATGGCTATAAATATATATGCATTATGTTGTTGCTTGTCACATTACTTCATTGGGATCTATGTGTGCATGTCTGTCCTTACAGTGCAGCTTGTAATCATCATAGCATTTAACTCAGAATTGCACCGCTTCCCTGGGTACGGTATGTAAGTGGGTAGTAAATAACCTTTATAGGCTTTTTGCCAATTCTGTTGTGACAATGTCCTCACAGTGACAACTTAATATACTCAAAGCCCTGCTTCTTCACTGCAAATCAACTGAATCTGTTTGCATATGAAAACATGCATACACACACATCAGTGCTGTCATTTTTTGCTGATCCAGAGACCTACTGTAATAAAAACTTTCTTGGTGCATCGCTGAAATGAAAAAGCATATTTTTGTTTTGTATCTTTGTTGTTTAGTAATTTCATCCTCGCATACAGCACAATATCCACACAAACATGGCTCCAGGCAGAGAAGAAAAAGATAACTGGGCTTTGACATAAACATGTTTTATCAGTCTGCGCTCAGCAGCTAAAATCTGTCAACTGTGACAAGTTAGTAAAATTCTCTGGAAGAAACAGGTCAGAAATGTATTTTTAGATTTGAAAAGAAAAATATTAAGAATTCTGTGATTTACATGAACCAAAATCATTATCCCATTATTTTCTATTTGTAGCCAACTTAGTACAAACCTGCTTTTGATATAACAGCCTCATATCATCAGGCAGGCGTTTGGCCTGTTTTGACTTGTTTTAGTATGATATAATTAATATATTCCTGTTTAAATTGAATCAAGTATATTCTCCCAAAAGCACTAATTTCACCTTGAAACTATTAAGAGGTCTCCAGGGGATAAACATTACATTACTGCTTAAACTATCCGTAGCGAAACCGGCCTTTGTTCTTGGATGTGATTACAATTTCCTGTTAGGTCCTTGGGTGTCGTGTGTGAATCATCTACTAAAGCCTTTGTGACTGAAAGGCAGAAGATCTGAATGTGCAATTTTGTAAAATTATTAGGTGTAAAATCCAGCAATGAGACACATCTAGCTAATAAATAAATGCTGTTGCTAGAGCTTATGAGTGGGATAAGATAACAGGGATGCGTTTTCCTTACATGAAGAAGACAGAGCCAGGCATCAGCATGTCTTTGTCTTGATCTGTATTCCAGCTAACGATAGCCAGCGGCATCAAATAAAAATATCAGCAACACTTGTGCCAATAAACGCAGTGACAGCAGCAGCAACCAAAAGCAATTAGCCTAGCTCATTAAAGCAGGTGTAAGCAAAGTCCTCACAAGCTTATTAATGTCTTCCATGCATAATAAATATCACTGCCCTCATCATCATGGCAGAAGAAAACTTCCCATTTCATGCTGATAGTGTGACATAACCTTTGTTAAAAGAGGGACAGTGACAGTTCTGCGTTTCAGGCACTTCTGCCTACAGACTGTTTTGGAGGGGAGATGTGTGTGTGTGTGTGTTGCAGGGGAAACAATTTCATTGCAGAACTAAATCTTTATCTGGAGCAGCACTGACACCTGCAGCAAGCTGAAAAGCCATCCTCCCCTCACTTTTATGAGTTATGAAATAAAATCAAACTTTCCGCACAGTCATACTACAGTGTGAGAGTAGACGTGACACGTTCAGTCTACACATTTCATCAGAGAGTAAACTGTTGAACACAGATATGAAGCACACGCCAAAATGGAGACAGTGGCTGGTTTGTGGGTGCCATGGGGATTTTGTGTTGTTTGTTTGAAGTTCCGTTTTGCTGCCTGTGATATACTGTAATGGTTGTTGATACCAGAGTTGACCTCTGGGGTCCCCTCTGAGGTACTCCTGAAGATTGCAGACACCTCAGCGGTCATCGGTCTCATCCAAAGCAGACACGAGCCTATGTACAGGCAGATGGTTGAACAGCAGTGTGATCGCAACAACCTGGAGTTGAACACGCTCAAAACAGACAGTGGAGAGGAGCCCCCGCCCTCCCCATGTTCAGCAGCACTGTGTCAG